AAAACTTTATTATATTCGCCTGTGTTGCGAAGTGTCTGTTTACACGTTGTGATGAGGAAGGAAGTGAATAAAAGAATATGGCGCTCAGTCGGTGCGTACACATGTACAATGTAGTATGGGTAGGGCGCGAGTTATAAATGAACGGAATTGCATGAAACGAAACATAAACATAAGAAAAACAAAAAGTGTGAGAGCTTTGATTGACTTTAACAGTTTTCTGTACTTGTTATATTCAATCTTTTATGTTCATTTAGGGGTGATACCGATTGATCACGGCTCGATTGGACACCACCACTCCCAGCGACCGGTGCTTAGGAGCTTTGTAATATCAAGCACTGTGAGTGACTCGTGTCCAATTGAGCCGTATCCAACCGTTCATTTACATACGTGACTCTGCATTAACACGGTGAATATGTTGCGAGAAATGCTTGGCGATGCGAAATTCTCATTGCCAATTATTGTTTTAAGTTATTTTAATTTATTGTGCAGTTATGGAGTGCAGTAGGTGAGTCTCCAGAATAAATTATTTTCTCTTTTTGGTAATTGCACTGTTAGAAATGTTCTTAAATTTCATTAACTTTTAATGTACATTGGTGAATGAAGTTTAATTTCTCTGTAACTGAAAGGACTATTAATGCACATGTTAATGAGATTTAAGTTTACAGTAACTGAAAAATTAAGTGTAATGAAATTTAATATACTTTTCATTTACGGATATAAATGACATTTAATTAATCGTAATTGAAATAACTATTAATGTACATATTAATGAAATTTAAGTTTGTAGTACATTAAATTTCAATACGCTTAACTTAAAAGTTAAGCGTATTGAAATTTAATATACTTTTACATTTACAAATATTAATAATATTTTAATTAAGCCTAATACTATTAACGCTTAACGTTTAATACGTTTATGTTTCTTACAAGTCATTAACGTAAATTACTTTTCAGTTACAGATCTCGTACTTTTCATTAACGTGTAAATTAATTTTTATAATAATGTGTTCATTAATTTCAATACACACGTTCATCACATTTAAGACTATACTGTAATTTAGTTTTTATTTACATCACTCATTACATTTAATTTCGTGCATAACCACATGCTTCCTTTACAATAACAAAGTTGTTAATTAAAATTCATTGAGAAATTTCTAACAGTGTGTCCTTTTGATATACTTTATATATTTTTATTTAGCTCTCGCACTTATTGTTAATCGAACAGCTAAATGACGGTTGCATACTTCCGAATTAGTAATCTGGGAGACTCACTTGCTGCACCGTATGACTTTGATTTGCTACTACTTGAAATGTATTAAGTAAGTGGTATCATACAAGATTATTAAGATGTTTAGAATTATTAATCAAGAGATGTTATTATACTACACTGCTGAAGATAGCTTGAATTAAGCCGAAACATTCGGTATTTGTGATATATTTGTAGTATTGAGAAATAGATGTGTATATAATCGCTTCAATTACTGCGAATTTAGGCTTTTAATTGCCCGTGTTCTCTTTCTATTGTTTAAATTATATGTTTCGGTCTCACGATTGAATTCTCTTCAGATATTCGATAAATTGTATATACGCAGTGGTGTTAAAATGATGTTAACATGATGAAATGCAGTCGCGAACATGGATAATGTTATATAAGTAGTACTGATGACCAGATGGTTTCACAGAGAAATAGAAATTGCTCGCAAGCGGTTGGATGACCGATTGTTTGGAATTTCTCGATGTACGAACTGGCCATATGGTTATGTTTCGCACGTTGAAAAGATGTTCGTCAAAATAATATTATAAAGATCAATGATAATTTATAATAAATGTACAATGATCAGAAGTGAAATAACAATATCACGGGCAATATAGAAATAAATTTGTCAAAAGATAAAATTAAAAATGTATAAAAATTAAATACAAATGATAATCTTAATTCCCTGATATAAAAAATGTAATTATAATAAAGAGTATAGCGGAATGAGTATGTGAAATTGGCTCCCACACTAATCCAGCTCAAATTAATATTACTAGTTGCCATCTTTGAGATATTAAACCTCCCCAAAAATTAGCCTTGGAATTGCATTTTTCTCATCGTTTACTTAATCACATGGATTCATCTGTATGTACTGAAGATGGCTAAAAAGTTAACTGAAATATGTATACAAATTAGTATTTACATATGAAAGATACAATTTAATAATGTTGATATTTATCGCACACGTAGTACAGCGCTAATTCCCAATAGTCAAATTTATTACAATTAAAAATTAAATAGTATATACAGGGTCATCGAAAAGTATCGGAGCCCCCTAATATCTTCAGTTAGAATGCATTTTGGAGAAAATGTTCAATAACAAAGTTGTATGGTTTCAAGCGAGGAGTAAGATAATGACCTTGACTTTGATCTTGACCATGTCCTTTAAGGTCATTTCAAGGTCAACCTTATTTTTT